GATGGACTGCAAGCTTTTAAAAAGATTATCAATTAAGGAAAAGCAAATTCATTACACTTGAATATACTTTTTTGACAGCAAAGTACATATTTTGAAGCAGAAGAATTATTAGTCGAAAAAAAGTTAATGCGACAATTTACCTCGATTTGCATTCCTGTCAAATTCCTCTTTCCTCCCTTCCCCTTTCCTTCCCATCCGCCCTCTTTCCATACCCCTTTCCCAAAATAATTGAATGTTCTAGCTTTTATCATAGTTCACGACAACAAGAACATGTCTGCTCCCTCAGCCTCTCAAAAAACATTCTACATTTTTCCGCTCTACCAGCTCTACCATAACATATAATTCTACTGTTTTCGTTAGTTTATTGCGCTGCGTTCAGTACAACACTTTTTTTTCTCGAGAATTTGTACTCCGGCTCAGACAGCGCACTTGTTGATACGTCCCGATTCGGTTAGTCAACAAATCCCGTCAGCTCGCTGCCGTGTTACCCTTTGTCGCAAAAAAAAAACCATTGTGGTCAGTCCTGCACTTTCACAGCCAAACCTCTTGCAAATACTTCCTTAGAAATTTACATTTCTACTCTGCAAAATTCTGTTTATTGTTTTCCTTATGCCCTTTCGGTTCTCCAATACTCCTATTGTGTGATGAGAAGAAAAGGAATCGAAACACAATACTCTCGATGAAATATTGATGTGCAGCTGCTTATGTGCCTTCCCCATTTTTAAAGCTTTATCGTGGATGTTGTGTTAATGTGGAGAGACGTGCAGCAATCTCTCCTTATCTATAGATGTATCAGAAATAACCTTTATGTACTAATAATCACGCGTCTTAATCTGACTTATTTTCAGTGAAGAAGGAAATTGACGGATTGTCGTTTTAGTTCCACTTATTGGTAGATATTGTTTTTTGAATTTCTCGAAATTCTAACATCATCTCACACTTGAATTTCCCTGGCCATAATACCTGCTAACGTTAGAGGGAAAATCCCAAATTTGTTCATCTCTTATGGAAGACTGAAATTTAGTTCAAAATGAAAGAATGTGCACTTCTACTTCCAAATCATTCCCTATCGTAGTCTTCTCGTATCAGATTGAAATTGCACCTACAAAATTGCGTTTTTCGGTTTCTTCAAGATACACTTGGGATTGCCTATTTACACATTGATTCAAAGTTCATAGTTATCTTAGCTCTCAATGTTCCAAAAGGTTCTCTTTCTTTGATGATTGCAAAACTTTGAAGATGGACTATAAACAAAAGCGTTAATCTAGGTTATCCCATAAAGCTAGACTGTAGGTTCTCTGTGGCCTTTCGTGAAGCGTTCTGCATAACGTTAACAGCAAATCCTCGCACATTTTCAAAACAGTGTTTCCAGCCGTCGTCTATACCCGAAAAGGCGCGAAAATTGCTTTAGATGCACCATAATGGATTTACAAACAACTTACATTTATCCAAATACTGAAGATTAGTGTACATCTGGGTGAGGTTCTGGGGTATCAAGCTCGGTTATCGTATGTGATGCCATAACAGACCAGAAAGTAAACTTATTTATTCCACGTAATTTGCTTATACGAATTATTGTGACTTATAAATTAACATATTGCCTTATAGCCTCACTACCAACCTGATATTTTCATAACTGGAAAACAATGATCGTGAGGGAGAAAACTTCTTCTTATTCAATAGGAGAGCTTAAATATGAACTCGCTTTGAAAAGCTCTTTTCATCGAGCAGAGAGAAAGAGAACTGGTTATATCACACACCAGCGAATAAAGTATCTGCCGTTTGTGTACAACAGCAAAAGCATTTCTAAAGTTTTGGTCATGGCTGGACTCAAAGTGGAACGTGATTTCTTAGTTGACTTCTCTTTTCCGCAAAAAGCTTTGTTTTGTTCCTGCAGTTAAATGAGCATACAGATTAGAGCAGGTTTGCTGCCATTCACTTCCGCCTTAAGCATTTGCGCACTCTTCGAGGGCGAAGTGTGGAGCAAGTTACGCACAGTCAGCGGCTGGTTGAACGGCAGTGCTTTACGTCAAATATAATTAGACTTATTTCCGCTCCCCTGAGTTCACGGTGGTCGCACAGTTTCCGTCTGCTTCAGGTGTGAGATCCAGAAATGTGGAACACGATCGATTGCGCGCGACCTATGTGCGGGCGACGTGTGTGGACATGTTACGATATTTCACTTATTGTAAAGAATTTTATCGTCACTTTGTGGAATTGCGAAACAAAGCGCCCTTTCCACGTTTTCTATGATATTCAACCGATTTGCAGATGTTATTCGCTGATAACAGTCACAGTTACTGTTTACATTACTGTTTTTTCATTATTGCCGTAGCAATGTTACCCTTACACATCGACCGGTCTAGTGTTTTGTGTTTGCCCCCACCCAAGAAGTAGTATCCGTGCTTCACATATACGAACGCTGGGGACGATGCCGGAAACGCTGCATTTTTCCTTTTCCGCGTATTTACCGTCGCCTCGTTTTGTTTACTCTCGTCAAGAGTCGAAGATTGCTCGGCATTGACCGATGTAGTAGTTGGAATAGTTTGTTAGGGCAGTATCTCATAACTCTGTTGTTGTCTCAATTCCTAACTGTGATGTTTCTCTTCCAGCTTGCTCCAACCCATGGACCCGCTTTCGGCGGAACATGCGAATGGCCGCTCGTCCAGCTGGGTTGGATTCGACGAAATTTCTATGACTTCTCCCGTTGCCGCACAATCCGCGCAAGCTCAAGGATTTCGTCCTGGAAGTGTGGACCCTTACGACGGTCGCAACAGTGTCGCCACTGAGGAAAGACTCGAGTTGGAGGATAACGAGAGGACCGTCGTCACTCCCTTGCCAACAAAAGAAGTTATTGCCGGTGTGTTTTTCACTTTTTTTCCGTAACACCTCCTTCTCTAATAAGGGTTTTCAATCTTGTGCGCCTCGGTCATGGGAGTGTTTTCTGAGCGCGGAGCTCGTTTTTCCCTCAAATAATCCATTGCGAAATCCAAAAGACACATTTTAACTCTAGTTTTCATCTTAAATGCTTCATTTAGATCCGTCTTCTCTCAGTCAAGCTCCCGTAGTTGACGCTTCACAAGAGTATCATGATAAACGTCCTGTCATAATGACCAGGGATGTGGACCCTATTCGAGGCTTTGTTACACAGGGAGGAATCCACCTAGGTTAGCTCACGTTTTCCTCATTTTTTCGAACCTCATCTAATGCTTTTTGCATGTTTTAGACGTTTTCCTTTCTTTTTAGTAAACAGTAAGATTGTCGCTACGATTTATCCGGAGAACACAATGTGTTCATGGGTGATTCCACCTCGTTACGATCCATATTCTATACCATCCGTGTTGGCTGCTGAAGGTCTCACGGTGCGTCTTTTATTTTACTCATTGTTCAGTAAGTTCATTTTTTTCAATTTTCATGATTAAGATACCAGCTGAGGACTATGTAACGGCCATGGAGCTTATTACCAACGATTATCGATTCAGAAGGCATGAATTTTTTGACTTCATTTTTCATCTTATACTTTCAAGCAACCCGGATCTACTACAAACTTTTTTGTATGTTATTTAAGTTGATACTTTACACCATTTCTCAGAATTTGCAACTGTTTCACTTTCTCAGAACTAAAAGGTGTTTTCAATGCAACCGTGGGCGCCTAAGGCATTTGATTTGCGTCTTCGTACTGAAGGTGCGGTATATGTAGACAGGAAGTATGTTGACTCATGCATATTCAACATGAGTGAATTTTGAGAGGCTTACGCGAAGTCACTTCAGACATATCAGGTGAAATTTCCCCAAGAATTGCAATGCCCAAACTTCGGAGAGGTTGCTTTTTCCTTTCATTACATCGACTCCATGGAAATGTGTGCTATTGATTCAAATACCAAGGAACTAAGTGAAAATGTCATAATATACTTGTTTACACTTCAACAGGAATGAGTTGCGTGCGATGGGATGATATTCTTCTTCATACTATCGTACCATCAATATAGAATTTTCTAGAGATCTTGTAAAGAACAACTCTTCATTCGTATACTTAATCTACGTTTACCAGCGCTAAAATCAAATGAACATTTTCCTGAGTTCCATGAGTCCATAGATGTGGTTCGTGGGTGCAGTCATTGTAGCATAGTAATACAAGTGTATCAATTCTATGTGAAAATGGCATATTTTAGCTTTTCCTCTCTCTATTCTCGTCTTGTGGCCTTTTGGATGACGCTATCTATCGTTATCCTTCTTGTCGTGCTTTTCGCCAATTCCGAAGGTGGAATTTTGGTGATGTCGTTCTGCTTGTTCTGGTGTGTGATGCTGTTTGCTGGCATTATTGCATGCGCAATTATTCGAAAACAGGTGATCAGTTTAACTTTATCATTTTTACCTCTTTGATTTCGTTGAGTGATCTTCCGCCTTGAACTGTTTCTCTTCGGCAGTGCACCTAGCATTGATTGTGAGCTTCTCAAACTTAAGCAGAGAGGAGAGTCTAGTCAACCAGAACTCTGAATATCTACCCTCCTACTGGAACTCTGATGGGAGTAAGACTTTCAACTTTTTAAGGCTGAGATCAATATACCAAATGATGCTTCAAAATGAGCCAGCAGCAGTGCTTTGTGCGCATGATATGATCAGACTATCTTTCATATATTCGCAAATTCGCATTGTTTTTGATTGAAAGAAGAAAAATGAGGGGAAGTAAAACACTATCAAAGAGTTAACTCAATTTTTTTTATGTATAAATTATGCTAGTGTACTTTGATTTCCATTCATTAAAAAACCCGAAACTTTTTGTAAGCGATCGTCATCTTTGCATTCCAAACGGAAGCAAAAACTTAAACATGACTAAAGGCAAAACTTTACCAGAATTGAGGCGATGCAAATGTTGCGATGACATCCTTCTTCGTTTGAAGCTGAAGACATTATTAATCTTATCTACAGTGTGATGGAGGAGGTCATCGACGGCGAATCGTGTACTTAACCTGTCACCATTCTTCAAACTTTTTGCAAATTTTTGAAAACATGCCACGGCTGGCAGTTTGTCAGTTAAGAGGGGCAAAGTTTACATTGATAGGTAGATTCCATGCAGCTTTGTACTTAATCATCCAATTCTGATTTGTCAGATTCATGTAAAGAATGTTTTATAATGCCTTTCCCAATAAGCGAAAATCCTTTTACTTGGAGATAGCAGGTTTACTTAGCGATAATCAGGTGTCGTGCCTTGCCAGCTTGGAAAACCCCATACATCAGGTCTTGCTCGTCTTGACTTAATAAATGCGCGAATTCTACGAACTTATAAATTGAAATTGCCTGTGCACCTTGGCGGAAGAAACATTTTGGTTAGTCAGTCGCATCTCTATTCAGTGCTTCTATCTAATAGGTAGCAAAGGCGAAGTCTATTGAAACCAACGTGAAAGGTCGTCCGTCCCATTTTGCTCCCCTCCTCTCAATCAATTTCATCTTTGAAATTTCCAGATTCGTATTGGCCTCCGACACTGTGTTCAATCCGCGAACAAGGTGCTCATTAAAAACAATATGATAGCTGGTGTCGAGGATAAAGGACAGCTAAGCTGTCACAAAGTTGTTGTGAGTACTTTTATTGTTTTTTTCATTTTTTGGCAAATTGCTTGTTTCTTCTTCTTCTTCTTCCACATAACTGAGGTATGACTATTACAAATGTAGCTGTAACCTGGATGTCTTGAAACAAATTTTACAAATAAAAAATTCTTTTCTCAAAAAATCAGACCTTTTCCTTTCACTGTAAGTCGATTACAGAGAAATGATTATGATTACATAATGTATAAAAAGCTCGGCCAAATCTTTTTTGATCAAAAATTTTCTCCATGTTATAGAAACCTAACAATAAGCCAAGTTTGACGATTTCTACTGTAAGCCTATCCTCTATTTTCACTTCACAAAAGTTCCACCTAGCTTACTAATACTTTTTTTAGAAGGGATCTTGCATCTCCCTTACATTTGATCGGTATATTGAGACACGCGTTCGAATATCGCATTTTTTCGAAGCATTCACTTGCTGTAAAACTAGTCACACCGCGGCATTCAGCACAACCCTGCAAAACATAGCTACAATATCTTCAGATTGATAAAATGATATATATCAACCAATCTATAAGGCCATTTTACAAGGTACTTAGACTCAATTAAAGCCCACTGTACTTTTGTAACTTATCCTACGTGTAGTATTTTGTTCTAATACGATTATATGGAAGCTATTAAAATACTGCAA